ATTCAAATAAACAAGTAAATAGTTATTGCAAATAAACAAATTATCTATAGCAATTGTGAAATTCCCCGACTATTCATAGCTTTGATTAATGGGTTCCTAACCATCTACTATGGTCTTTGCTTTGTAAGGATGGAAGGAGAGGGTTCGTCCATTAGACGATATGCTAAAATACTAAAATACATCAAATATCTACTCATTTTTAATTATGAACCGCATAACTTGTATACTAACCCTAACAATGACTATTCATAGCTTTGATGAAACAGGTAATTCTATAGTGATAATTAAAATAGTAACACCCTCTAAAACGTGTACTTTGGCATGATATTATTATTGGACCGAATGGATTAAAATTTCACAATAAAGAATATATTAGGGTTAAACTACAAGCTCTTTTACTTGTTGTAATGTCCCAAAAAATCATCGTAAAAAATCATTTTTAAAACTAATTTTATAATCCATAAGTCATACAAAACATTGTTTCCAAAAACATAGTCGTCAAATAAGAGTATTCAAAAACATATTCCAATATAATATCCAAGGATGATGTGTACAATCATGCCTTCGCATTACCCTGATCATATGATGTACTTGAAACCATGAAATCAAGCTATAAGCCAAAGTTTAGTGAGTTCCCCCCAAAATATCCCATACAACACTACACATACTAGCATGCATATCTATAAGCCTTCAGTTTTCCTGGACCCCTCGCAAGGCCTACAGTATGTATGGACCGCTCTACCAAGCCTAAAGTCTACCGGATCACCTCGCAAGGCCTACAGTAGTTGGACCGCTCTCGAGCCTACAACTTGAAGTTGGACCGCTTCTAGGTTTGTTGGCCTACCACACAAAGCAGTACCGCCTCAACCCAACCATACCATGTTGATGCATAGAAACAGTAATCAATAACCAGCAAGTACAGGTAATCATACAAATCTACCAGTCTAACAGATCACTACAACATAGCAACATCCTATATACCATGATACATAATACAACCAAGTGGGTCGGTATTGGTGTTTTCGATCCACGAGTACAGTGAGGAAAACTTACCTCAAAGTCCATAAGATAGCTAAAATGATCACTGCTCCAATTACGAACTGATCACATGGACCATAAAAATCATAGCTTTATAGACGTGCATGTCCTTTCTATTTTAGGTCAAAATCATGGCAATTAGAAACTCATAGCTTGAGTATGGGACCAAGACTCCAAAAATCCTCAGATTAGGAACATATGACACTAAGATGACCATAAGGATCCATAAAGTTGCCAACTTTATGGAATTCTGTAACATCCCAAAAATTCCATTTTTGAATTAATAATTTAATAAACATTTTACCAAAATATGGTCAAATAACAACGCGTTTCAAAATCATAATGTTGTGTCCCAAACTATGACATCAAAAGTAATGAAAATCATAGTACAATCCCAGAAACTCAAAGCGGAAAACCATGTGTGTGTGATGCGCTGCTACACCGCCGGATCTTTCCCCTTTGATGAAGAGGTACCTTAAACCAAAACCAAAACTGTATGAACAAAGCTTAGTGAGTTCCCCCATCATACCACATACCATACAAAATCATCAGTATCTTTCAGCCGGTAACCTTCATCGGTATCTTTCAACCGGTATCCTTCATCGGTATCTTTCAACCAGTAACTATCATCAGTATCTTTCAACTGGTAACCATCATCGGTATCTTTCAACTGGTAACTGGGGACTATTTCACCCCTTACTACTAGCATACAGCAATAGATATAAGCATACAGTCAGGCATATCCGGGTACTGACTTACCCTTTGGTCCTAAGGACCACTGTCAAGGAAACTAATCCCTACTATACACATAACATATCATACAGATAAATCTCATGACCAAAGCACATAACCAGACCAAGATAATTATCACAAAGACAATCATCTTCTAAATACTCCTCTT